GCAACGCTAAAACTAACGGTATCCTACGTCTATCAGGAAGTAAACCGGCGGCAACATGCTTCGAACAAAATCGAGTATCTTAGCTTCGTCTATAAGGAGAGATCCTGCGAGGAGTAGGATTTTACGAAGGAGTCTAGTACAAAAAGGTCCTACTGAGATTAAATTCAATTGGGTGGATTAAACGCGAGCACGATCGTGCCGTAAATTCCAGTCTCTCCCGTTTTCTACTCGAATGCTTCCCCTGCCCTCTAAATACTACTAGAAGTCTAGCATCCAGTAGTAGCAGGTAAATGTATATTTAGAAGCAAAAACTTAACTCCCAAGAATCTTTGAGAACTTTATCGCGCATTTCTAGCATATAAATAGAAAGAAGGTGAAGAAGAAAATGAAAAAGAAAAGAGTAGAGGTATAAGGTGTATAAGATATGAAAAAAGGAAAAGGAGGAAAAGGAAAAGGAACACGGTAGAAACGAAAAGAGATTCATCTGTGGTCGGCGAAGGCTCTTTTTCCAAGAGGTACCAGGGAACGAATGAGCTTACAAGCCTCTCCGACGGAAGTTGGGCATTGTGGCCATGTTAGGATTTCCCATGCGAGGCGTACGTTACGTTAAGTTACGTTACGTTACGGCGCACCATGAAATATGCAACGCTATCTGGTACCGTTGCCGCAACACTCTGGCGATCCGCACCCTATTTCCAAGCAGCCCACAGCCGGAGCCCACCCTCTGACCATCAGTACAAGCTGATAGGGTAGAAACCTTACCGCGCCGTTCTTCCGTTCTTGGCCTCGGTTCCTTCGAATCAAAGGCAACTTCCTTTCCTCCAAGGCTTTCAAATCCATATCGACTTCCTAACTACCGTGCAGAAACTAATTTTGCAATCGAGCAAATCGATGCATCGCGTTTGCGAGCAACCTCGACTGACCTAACGAGCTCGAATTTGTGTAAATCGTGTGTGTCTCTCTCTCTCTCTCTCTTCCTTTTTCAGCCCACACACAGCCATGCAACGTTCTCTCTGTCTCGTACGACTCGTTACGCGCTGCTGCAGCTGGCAACAGATAAGGACGCAGTCTATAAATTAATTAGTCCAACTCTCTAAGACCCAAAAGCCGCATGCGCATAGGAACGTCCTATCTAAATCTGCATTAAGCCACCTAGCAGCCTAGACAAAATTTACAACCTTACCTCGCTTCTCGCTATTCTTCTCTCACACCCTTCCTTTCAAAATCCAAGATTCGACCGGCGAATCCTTTCTTCTCTTAACTTTTATCAAATTTGTGAAAGGTATTAAAGAAACCCGAATAGACGGCAGTGTTCTCGGTTTAAAAAAAAAATATACGACGAAACCTCGTGAGAATTTTTCTCATCATTTCTATTTCTCCGATCCGACCATGGGAATTTATGAATGCCTTCTGGATTACGAATATCTCTGCTATGCACGAATATAAGGTATTACAAGACTAAGAAGACGTTCCTGAAAAATGTTCCACCCTTCCTCATTCCCCAGAACCTCCCCAAAAACCATCCCCAAGAACCGATCTTCTCCCTTCTTCTGTGTCGGACATATTCATTTTATCGCGCGTATCCATCACCAACGAGACGTTCCCTTAATCCGTGACTTAAATCGTGCTGACAGCTTCTAACGTTTTACTCGCTCAACGTCATTAATGTGAATATACGTAAATCAACGTAGAATACGGGTATTAACAAAAAATATGACCTATGGGAAGGGGTATTGCCAAAAGAATAAATTAGGGCGATTGACAAAGTTCAGATTTATATTATTTTATGATAATAAAAACGAGGAGAATATTAAAAAGTAGATTCGCGGATAGAAAGGAAGAATAAATTTGCGAATACTTGTTTTGCGTAACGATAAATAAGCGATTCATCTCGCTTCATCACACATCATCGACGAGCGTTTGTACTTTCTACTTTTTTTTTTCATTTTTTATCAATTTAAATATAACATATATCGCATCATCGAAGGATAGCATTCCATACTTTTTCATCACGTTCGATGTCATTAGCAAAACAATGAAAAAGAAAATAGGATGAATTCGCTCGCTAAATTTGGAGTATATTTTTTACCCATTTCCTGCGAGTAGGAGGAGGTAGAAGGAACAAAAAAACTGCAGTTTGTTCTTCCGCTCGGAAGAAGTTCGCGTATCCCAGATGACTCATATTGTGTAAGACGTTTAATGGTGCAGTAAATTCTGACGTTGGTGGGTATAGGTATTCGACTCGTTTCTTCTTGCGCACGAGCTAACGGCACTTTAAGGGAGCCGCTCGAGCGAACGTTAAAAATGATGTAACGGGGCCAACGTTAAGCGTTACAACAAGTTTCGCGATCATAATGTTTCACGATGGGAACGTAACACGCTTGATTTCTACTCTGTTGCTTCGTCAAAGGACTGACTTATGACGAGTCAATTATTTTTTTATTCAAATACATCTAAGTAAGTGTCTGTGTTTTCAAGAAGATGAATTCGAAGCTATAGAGAAATAGAAAAAAATAATAGGAGAGTATTATTAGCTTTGTGAAGAATTCGTCGATCTCTCCGCTCCTCCTATGAATATATGCGGGACTTCGATACGTAAGAATTTTGCGAAAGGGACAAGAGCTGATATATATGTACTACTGGAAAAAGTATAAAGAATAAATTTAAATATCGCCCGACTCCTTTGATATGTTAACAAGACCGACTCCGACCGGGTGGGGTGACCGAAACAGCTACGGTAAAATTCTTTGATAGCGATATCATCCTTCACAACCTTTTTCCATCCTTTTCTCTCGTCCCGGTTCATACTACTCGTGTATTATTTCTGGCCTTTATGGTTTAAGAGCTCGCCCGTCCCGCGATTTATGTTTTCTCTGCCGTCGCTTTCCACCTGCGCGCGCGCGAATATATGCAAATGTTATCCCTTGGAACGAGCCGAGAAGCTTTCTTTTTTTCTTCTACCTAGGTACCAGCTCGCACTTCATCCCTTATTCGTCTTTTACTATTGTGATAAGAAGAATAATAGGAAAAAGGGAAATAAGTATAATGGGTATTAGAAACGAGATTATTAGCTTCCTCTTTCAATACAATTTATACAAACTTCTTGCATCGTTATCATTATTATTATTATTATTAGTATTTTGAATACTGCTATTACTATTATCTCTTTTGATTGAGCTTTTATTTTGCTTTAGTGCGCTTACGTTAGCAACGATAGCAACGAATAAATCGACCTAAAGTTTATTTTATCGTCGCTTTCTCATTTATTTTTGTTGAAAATGACTCGTCGAAGCGTTATCGTTCGACGAACCATCCGGATATCGATCTGCTTTACTGCCAGAGAAAATAGAGAAGAGTTCGTCGCTAATCCTAGCACACGGTATACATTCGCGTTGCACTGCAGGACTTTTACTCTCGAGAAAAAAGTCGAGCGAGTCTCGTAAACGAGCAATATTCCGTATCTATATGCATGTAGGTATGCATGTATGTATGCGTATATGTACGTGGACGGCAAGTTGCCACTCGAGGATCCATTTGAATATTTAAAGTTGCACAGCGCGACGCGCACGAAAACTTTGCCTTCCGTAAGAACACTCCTACACGTAAAAGATACCTATAGTGTATGTGTATCCGCATATGTGTAGATAATACGTACGAGTCCAAAGGAACGATCTTTCCGAATTTTTCATCGCTTGGTTCTAGCTATCGCATAGCAATTTTTCTCTCTCTCTCTTTAACCTTCTTCTTTTCTTCTATTTTACTTGTACATCCCATGAAACTCTCGTACTCCTTCTACCTTTCTTTCCATCTCTTTTAACTTCTTCCAACTTTCTTTCTTCTTGTCCATCATTCTTATATCATTCCAACGTGCAACGCTCCTCTCGCGTTATTTCCCTTCCTTCACGACAAACAAAAAAGCGTTTATTCGTCGCACGTCAGACTCTCGGACGTGTCCCTTTCTTTTCCTTTCTACTTTTCTATTCCCTTCGCCCTTCTTTTCTTTTCCCTCTTCATATGCTCCACCACTCGTCGCCTTTTTCTCATACGTTCTTACTCTCTTTTACTCTTTTATCCTCTCTCTCTCTCTCACACCCTCCCTTTTTTCTTTTCTTTCCATCTATCTCTGCGTGACTGATGAAACTCGTAGTCATATAGGTCGGATTCTTAGCGTGTACGAAAATTCTTATTCCCTAAACTTTCAGCTCTTCTTATTTACTGCTCGTTCCGCGAGTAAACGTAGACGATGTTAAAGAGGAAAAACTTTAGAAGGAAAAACCATCTCGATAAACGACATTAATTAAATTTCTTCGTGTAAATATCTTTGAACCAACGAGTAAGATATTCAGTTAAATTAATTAATAGAACAAATACATTCCTACCTTGGAAAATAAAATCGCGTAAAGTTGAGAAATTTGTCGAAAGAAGCCAGTATTTTAATTTCATTTCGAGAGATATAGATGAAAATGATGTAGCGGGAAAGCAATCAACGTAACTACTACGTGTAGTACGATACTGTAGTTAAAAGACTTTTCCTACGCGCGCGCGCGTGTTTCACCGGATGAGTCTCTCTGAGGCGTCATTTAACTTGTACGAACTCGTCAATTCTCGTTGAGAAGAGTGTAGGTGTATCATAGGCATGCAATAGTTCGTTCGTACATACACGCGTGTCATCCAACGCGCAACCAACGCGTTTCCCCATTTACGAACCGACGAGAAATTGACACTTTCACGAGTGATGTCGAAATTTCGGTTATTTTCGTTTCCACGCCAAATATTTCGCGATCTCGATACGTATACAAATATATACAGAACATTCACGCAGGAATACAACTCTCGACAGATTCTTTCAACGATATACACGTAACCGCTTCCCAAAACGTCGTCGCGTTTCCAAACAAATCGATAACAGCTTTCCCTTCGTCTTTTCTTCTTCTCTTTCTAAAAAGGATTCCTCTAACGTCGAACCAAATTTCACATTCCCTTTCTTTTTTATGTTACAGTTTGGACAGGCAACAACCATTCACTTTTCAGTTGGGCGTTGGTCAGGTGATTAAAGGATGGGATCAAGGTTTGTTAGACATGTGTGTGGGGGAGAAAAGGAAGTTGGTCATTCCCCCGGAACTTGGTTATGGTGATATCGGAGCCGGAAATGTTATACCTGGAGGTAAAATAATCATCCTATATATATATCAATGAGATTATTTTAATAAGCGATTAAAATATAATTGTAATTTTAAATGAAGAGCAATTTATTATTCGTTTATTCATGGATGGGGATATGATTTGGCCATTTGAAATTTTTCAATGTGAAAAAATATTTGAAAAATCCTTCATCGGTTAAATATGAATAAACGAAATCGGGAGAGACGTTACGACATGAACAGCTTACTGGATGCGAGGGGATCGTTAGGATCGAGATGGGAGTTCAAAATGCAATTGCATGAAAATCCAATAAAGCTTCGCCCGTTAAATGGGACACCGTTGTCCATGATCGTTTGTTCGAATTGACAGCAATGCACGCTTCGTTTATTTTTAAGATAGCCTCTCTCGTAAACGAACGGAGCTTCTCATTTTCTATACGTACCTATTTTATGATTCCTCCGAGAGGTCAAGAACATACCTTAAATTTACTTGATAAACTTCCTATATCTATATATATATATATATATATATAGATAAATCATCGAATGCTTCGATAACGTTCTATCGAAAATTCGTTTTAAATCAAAAACAAACCAAAATGAAATAAAAAGAACAAACCGGTAGGTTTATTGATTTATTTTTACACAAATACTTGGAACGATGCGAACACTCCATACGTTTGTTAATTCCGCTCGTTTGAGCGGGAAATAATTAAACGGCATATTTCATTAGTACCGCTTTAATCGCGACGGTCGATTCCATAATTAATAACGAAACGTGCATTAACCGAACGGCGACAGTTCGTTAGCTCTCAGCTAAATATTCCATTAACTTCTACCGAGATATTGACATTTTTATAGAAATCTATTAACGATAGATTTGATAGGAAAAATTGTACTCGTGTCTACCACCAAATTTTTACCGTCGTTCGTAATATGAACAATTATTTCATTTGTAATTAAATTAGAGAAAAATTCATTTTTAAAATTAATTTTTCGCGGGTGGTTATATTCATCTGCATTATCTAGGAAATATGAGTTACAATAATGGCGATAATAAGAGTTATCGGATATCAAATTTATAAACAAGAGTTACGGTCAATATTGACCACCACCGGCTAGCATAACATTGTACCATTTTTTCTCAAAATTGTTTCATACCGCTTGACTCTTTTCTCTCTTTTTTCTCCTGCTCTTTCTGTCCAACTCTTCACTTCACTAAGCTACTTCGATTTATTCTGCGCGTACGTGGACCCACATTTCTGTGTGTAAAGTCTCGCACGTGTACGTGCGAAAGGTGCAAAACGCGCAAAAAGAGTTAGGTTTTCGACGCGAGACAGAAGAATCGATAGCCCATAGAAATGATTTACGAGGATGCACTTGCTCGGAGGCAGGCTAAAGTGCCGTACATAACATTCTCAGCAAAGAAATCTCATAAAAAGTTTCTCTCAGTTGAATCACGACTTATGATCTTATTTTGATAAACAAATTATCTTATTTCTGTACTTTTTTTTTTTTTTTTTTTTTATTATTATTATTATTTTATCCTCCCTTTTCGTCATATAAACTTTACGATAGAGTTCACATAATTCAACGGGGTAGAGCTTTTGATTGCCAATCAACGATTAATTCGGAAGAAAAAACTTTAAAAGTATGAGAGTTGAATGAAATTTTAGTTGACATATGTACAAATGAATGGATGAACAAAAAAAAAAAAAAAAAGAAAACAACGAACTATTCGATAAATGTTCAACGTCGCGAATCGAAAACTCTGTTATACCTATCGGATATACCTATATGCATATACATACATATGTACGAGACTTTACATCGCGAATGGAAAAATTGCTGACAGCGACGTATTGGATTTTTATCGGATTTCGGCCAATCAGCGGGGTCGAGTCAGATGGAGCCTTCTCTGAAAACGACAAAAAGTAATGTAAAAGATATAACATTGGATTGTAATAAACATGTAACATTTGATATTACTTTCTTCGTCCTGTTCGTTAAATTAATCGAACGGCAGTTAGGATTGTTTATTATTAAGATCAAAAACCAGAGAAACGTTTAATTGCAGGTGCCACTTTAACGTTCGACGTTGAGCTCATCAACATCAGTGATTCGCCGCCAACCGCAAACGTCTTCAAAGAGATCGACGCTAACGACGATAAGCAACTCTCCCGCGAGGAGGTGAGAGCAATGGCAAGATCATTTGGATTTTTTTTCATTTGGGTGTTGGTTGACTAACAAATTGCTCGATCAATTCAAATTAATCAATCCTTTTTAACAAAACCCATCCGTTTTCTCGCAATGTTTTTTATTTCATTTTAAGACTTTGAACTTTTGTCAGTAATTATTAACATATAGGTATATATTTTGTTCATTAAGTTGATCCATTGATTGATACACAGGTCAGTGAATATCTAAAGAAACAAATGATCGAAGCGGAACAAGGTAATCCTGGTGACAACGAAGAAATGAAAAAGATGCTGGCCGATCACGACAAACTCGTCGAGGAGATTTTCCAGCACGAGGACAAAGATAGGAACGGTTTCATATCACACGAAGAATTTAGTGGGCCAAAACACGACGAGCTTTGAAGATTTTTTCATTGTTTTCATTTCTCGAGCAACAACGCGTCTCTTGCTCGTTCGTGGATAATTTTAAAGCTTCCAACGACTCTCCTCCCGAACGTCAACATCCTGTCTTCCTGAATGAATTTTTCCTCAATGATGACTTATCTTCGCGTATACGAGAAAGTCAAAGTGTAAATCATCATCAACAAAAAGAGAAAGCTGACAAAAAGTTTACGATCGGAACAAAGATGTTGTTTCGATTTTCTTCAAATTCCCAAAAATATTTTTCGCTCCGACGTAACGTCGCGACGCCTGAGACGAATTTAATCATCTAACCGTCTGAATACATTTTTGCTCGAGTGATCGCATTACGATATGCATATATACTTATGTGAATGAATAAAATAAATAAATATATATATATATATATATATATATATATATATGCGTGTACGCGTGCGTGTGAGTGAATGTACGCGCCTGTGAGTGATCAAAAGAAAGTGTCTTTTTTCTACACGATCGTAAATGTTTAGCATTAATTATATGGAACAGTAATAACGCAACAGTATATGGTATATCGAATCATGAACTACCGTAACTCTATCGTCGAAAGATATCCGCAAACTATCCACGTTTTTCTCTTCGTTACAAGTTATTATACTTTTTTTTTAATCGCATTTATCAGATGTTACGATTACGTTACGTCTTTTCTAATTACTTGAAAATTGATAATTAAAATCAAGTCATTAGAACGAAACATATAGGATATTAAATATATAAGCGTACAAATGAAAAACAACACTGTACCGTCTCGTCAATTATTACACGTCATATCTCTATATTATATACGTTGTACTTACAAACAAATTTGAAATATTTACCAATCAATTTCAAGTAGATAGAAAAGATTTGGAGGTAGCTCGATTTATATCGTAAAAGGAGCTTCCATCGTTTCTTATTGTAAAAGTTAGCGAAGATCGAAAGTGGATAGTTCGTGGAATCGTCTGACCTTCTCCTTTAAAGTTCTCTTCGATCCATTTTCAACAGTTAACAGCACATTATTCAATTCTTATTACACTTATCGCAAAAAAAAAAAATAGGGTAACAAATATCTCGAGAATGTGGAATATAATCGAACGTGACCATTAGGTTGCGAGGCCAAACCCCGTCGTCGCTATTATTATTATTATATTTTAATGAATATGTTTTTTATATTATTGCATTATATTGTATGTTGTTAAAGTTGGATGAAGGTTAATAATAATAAATCGTGTGTCTTGAGCACAATTTGTTATACACGGTTGTTATTCTTCTTGCGCTGATTCCTCTTGTTTTCTCTTGGCTGTTTCTAAAAATGAACGGAACATGGAAAAATGGAAGGTGTTAACTTACCTTATTCCCTTCGCGCGTGAATAAAATCGGAAATCAAAATGAACAAGAGAGATACAATATTTTTTCCTTTTTATTTGAAGAGAATCGTTTACGTGTTGAGAGTTACAGTAATTAATGCGTACCTACACGTACGAGACACGATAATGTAATTAACAATTAAATTAATTAAATTATTTCTATCACCCGATAAATCACACCGCTACAAATCTTCGTTGTAAAATTCGTATCGAAAAAAACGTATCGATTTCAAAAGAGGTTCTTTCTTCCTACTTTTCCACCAGGCACGCAACGAGGCACGAGATCACCCCTCTCAATTTTTTTTACCTTTTTATATGCTTTTTTGTTTATTCTTAATCGTTAAATTTATCCATCGACCATATAAGCGATTTACATCGTAGCTCTGACAAGAAAAAAATTGGAAAAACGTTGAACTAGCACAGGCACGAATAACTTACCCTGTTACGGCTATAACCAATGGCAGAAGAATATAAATACGATATTATATATATTCGAAGAATATTTTTCGTAAAAGTATCAATTAATATCGTTTATATCCGTCACCCTATCTTTCTTTTACCAAAAGCAAATCACTTTCGGGGGAATATGTATATAAATGATCTAAGAGCCATCATTTTTCGTTTCTTTTTTTGTTGTCATTCGAATAAATTGTAAAAGACAATTTTAAAAAAGACCTTTTCGTTTGTAAAATTTCACACTCGAAACTGCAGAGATTGATAATTCAACATACGTAAAATAAGTATGTATCGCGTGCGTGCGGTGGTTACGCGTTTGGAAATAATTTCCTAAAAAGTGATTCGATCTAACGCGACGACGTTAAATAAGTAACCGTACCGCACAAAATAAGAAAAGAATGGAAAAGAAAAAGCTAGGGAAAAAAAGACAAAAAAAAAAGAAAAAAGAAGAATAAAAGTTTATAAAAAACGAAAAATAAAGAGATAGAGAGAGAGAGATTTAAAAGACCGTTTGATATACGGGTATGATAGAGAGATTTGGCAAGAGTATGTGTGTCATCATAAAGATATAGTTAATTGAAAGCTATGCTCTGCGTGAAGGAGAGAGCTGGTTTCGTTCTTGTCATCCAGTTGTCGTCGTTCTTTTTCTTCTTTTCCTTTCCATTTCTTTCGAGCTTTGAGCCGCCAAGAATCTTCGTGAGAAACACGATTTGCATAGTAGTTTGCTCAGAGAGATCTTCCCCTCTCCCGCCACGCATGCTTCCTTCGAATAAGAAAATTTCCATGGGGGTTGGCTGGGAGAGAAAAGGGTGGATAATATCACAGTCAATAGCCCTTGATGTAGGCAGCGATGTGTTTCTTTTCCTCTTCCGAGAGACCGTTCTTCAACGTTCTACGCACTGAAAAAGAAATCCCTTCAAGATACTTCAAAACGCGTAACCTATACGTACGTACACAATTATACATATACATTGTACATATATACATTCATGTTAAGTAGAAAAAGTATTGCCATAATCCACAGTTTTTCGTTGGTTTCGTTGACAATTTTTGTCTATTTTTCCAACGTATTATTCAATTAAATGTTTCGTTATAATTATCATTTTGTTTAATTTTGTTGTCAAATTTTGTTTCAATTAGTGCAGATCATGTCAATATATTTTCTCTTAACAGATATATTCATTTGATTTGATTATTATCCATACAACTCTAATCGCCATGCTTCGTTTCTATTTCGCAGCATTCAATGAAGCTTAAAAAAAAAATAACATGCTAATTAATCGTCCGGTAAATGAATGAAAAATCGTTTCCGACGTGCTCGCATTATCCGCAAAGTATTCATAGTTGATATTTATTCTATAGACCAAAGGGAAAGATAATCGTCGTCGTAGGATGCGGAAGATATCTCGTTTCTTGCGAATCTTAATCAGAAGCAGTCATTATCCCCAAGGTGCAATCTTCGCTAAAAAGAGTTAAAAGCGAGGAAGGAAAAAAGCCGATTCGTGGCTCATTTAAATGTTAAATACGACGAAACGGAGAGTACGCGGCAGGATTCTCGCTTCTACCTCGTCTTTCAATGGAAAAGAAATCAAAAGAGAAGGAAATAGTCAAAGAGAGCGAGGAAAAAATAATAGGACAAAAAAAAAAAAAAGAAAAAGATAAGAAAAGAAAGTAAAAGCCTGAATGGTTTTAGCGAGGGAGAAAAATCCTAGAATGGCTATCGAGTGACTGGTTCTCCTTTTTCTTATAACGATTAATCCAATTTATTGGATCCTTTTTTGCCATTGTCCTCGCGTAAAAATATTTTCTTTGACGTTCTTAATCAATAAGGAGATATACCCGTAGAATTTATGGGTGGATAGAATCTCGTTCGGTTCTCGCCAAGTTATTTCGAGTAAAAGATAATATATGTAGTATATATGTATGTATGTATGTATGTATGTATGAGTGGACGCAACGAAAGAGTATCCACTTGAAAATTATCCGATTAAAATTAACTGCGATTTCTTTTTTATCTACCGGTAACACGGCATTTTTTTTTCTTTTTTATTTTTTTTTATATCGCTTTCGTTCCTCCGTCGCATTTTCCCCATCGAGTTTTAACAAAAGGAGATAAAACCGTAAGGTCCATTGTTCCGATAACAAGGTAGAAAAATAGAGTTCCTGGTAATAAAGTCGTTTTATCGACGAGCGCAGAGGGAACGTCGAGTTTTCTAAGATCGTCTAAAAGAAGACATCATTTGCTCCTCCTTCTCTTCCTCCTCCTCCTCTTACGATCGGTAAATCGAAGAGATTTACAGATTTTAATTATCAGCCAAACGAAAAGAACGTGTTTCTTTGAATAAGAAAAGAATTAAGTTAGAGAAGTTTACTTACGTATAGTTAATAAATTCAAATATAACAGATAAAAAACGTATCGATTCGCATGCCAAGCAAGAAACGAAAAACACAAAACAAAACAAAACAAAAAAATATTAACAGAAAGTAACGAACGGGGAAAAATTTAAAGGCGAGAAAAGGCGAACCTTTATGCGGCGAAAGGTGATTCCTTTTAGGGTTGATACCCTTCCGGCGTGGTGTTGTTCTCTCGTGTGCGCGATCGCTTCACTGTCGGGCAGAAAAAAAAGAAGGCAAGAACGCTAGGCCAGAATGTTAGCAACCGTCACCGGTAATGACTATTCAATTATTATCACCACACCCCCTTTAACTAAGAGAAGAACTCTTCCACCAGGAGTGCATCGATCATCTCGAAAAGCAGGGAAACGAGGGGAAAGGAGAATTTTTTTCGAATTTATTATATCGAGAAGGATTCTCTCTCTCTCTCTCTCTCTCTTTCGAAGGATGAAGAAGAAAAATTTAATACGTGTTTGCACTAACGATAACGCGAAAGAATGGTTCCCAGTCACGTTGCAGAGTACACGAGCTTTTCATAAATATATCAAGGAGGGGGAGAAAGAGAAAAAGAGAAAGAGAGAGAGAGAGAGAGAGAAGACGAACGATTCTCTACGGCCAATGAGCGGATTACACCGAGATTCGCGTACAAACTCCCCAACGAAGGATTATTCCCTACGTTCGATGTACTATCCTTATACCGATCGATTACAAAAAAGGGTACGCGAAAGGCTCTTTCGTTCGGCGCGTACCAACCGGAAAAAGCATCCGAGTCTTTCCATAATCCCCATACATTATGCAACGACATCGCTCCGGATCGTTCTTCTTATCGCTTACTCTCCTCCTTCATTCTCCCCGCTATTGTTTTTCCTCTTCTTCCCGATGCCATAGGTTCGCGAAACATCGTGAAAATCGAATAGAGATGCACTCTTCTAGATCATTTTTCTATTTAAAACTTTCGACTCATCGATGAGATAGACGATTATCAATGTTATTTAATAAAAGAATAATATTAACGGTACATCTCTATATCGTTAGTTTTTTTTTATTATACTATATAGATAAAGGAAAGGAGTGAAGATAAGAGAGAGAGAGATAGAGATAGAAAGAGATGTACATAGGATCAAATAACTGTGCCGTAAAGGTGCATGGAAACGCAGGGAAAGATCAAAAAGGGCGACGATTTTCCGTTGACACTCGAGTTTTGCCTGAACACTTCCACGTTTATCGATCGTTCCTCATTAGGTTTTATTGGGCCGTTGCCCCAATGAACCGTAAACAAAATTATAAATAAACGTGGAAGATAGATAAGAAAAAAAAAAAAAAAAAAAATAGAAAAAAATGTCACAGAGTGGAGGTGCAGGGTGCGGGGATCACACTTACAAGACTTACGATCGGCGTGTCTCGTCCTTTTACGTTCCCTTGGTGTTGTCCTCGTAGCTGGCGTCTTCGTTGCAGTCTTTACGAGGGATTCTAAAAGCTCGTCATCGCCGTCGGTGAGATTACCGTTAGTACCTTCGTCTCTTAGCAAAGGTCCCAGCGTAGTTCGTCCTAAGAGCAATCAAATGTTTTCCAACTTCAAAAACTTTATCTTTTCTCCGAGAGCGATTATTAAAATCTAGGTACACGTATTATAATAAACGTAACATCAAAACTAACAATATTATTACTCATTATTATAACAAGTATATTTTCGTAATTACGTTAAAAGGGATAATACTCTAAGCTAAAGCTGAAAAATTGGTTAAAATAATTCTAAATAAATCATTGAAACGCGATGTCGGGTTAACAAAGTCGAAAGACCGCGGCTATTTTTAAATCTTTTCTCTCGAGAACTAACTCTTTAAGACGTCAACATTTATCTGCTCTAACGACGGTACCAAGCTAAAGAGGTTTACGAAAATAAAGAGTCATTCTTGCTGTTTCTTCTTGTCTCCAAAGACGTAAACGTGAAAAGTATGTTCCTTTTATATAACGGTGTGTAAAGCTATGTATAAAATAATTCTTTTTTTAAAAAAAGATCAAAATGTTTTCTTTTAACTTTCGACGAGTTATCTTGCAATAGGTAAGTCAAGAAAATGTTAATATTAAGAAACGCCATCGTACTTTGGCAGTGAAATATTTTCGATAGGCTGTCGTTGAATATCTTTGTTTTAAAATATAAACGAAAGGAAAAAAAGATAAAGAACCGTTTGAGGCTTACCGTCCTTTCTTTGCCTTCGCCAGGGTAGCGTACCATGAATACTTTCAACGTCGGAAATGTCACTTCCGAGGAGTTGCCTCAGCTCGGCGTCCGCTCGATCCTCTTTCGTCCTAAACTTACCAACCTGAAGGAAAAAATAAAAAGAAAAAAAAAAGTAAAAGAAAATTGAACGGAAAATGAAAAAGTGTACGTTTAGTTTATATTCTCACCTCGGTGATCATCTTTCCTCTTGTCTTATTTCTCTCTCGATGATTGGCTTTTTTCTCGAGCTGTTGTATCACCCGTTCTCGGGTCGTTCTATACTCGAGAGCAAATTCCGATACTATCCTACAAAACTCGTTCGGTTTGGTGTCCTGTACTCTATGGAGCGGTATACCAAGCCAAAGTATAAACTTGTGAAATCGATTTATGATACGCCTATGTACGATACCCAGGACTATTATCCTTTCCGCGCAGTCAGCCAAAAAGTCGGACATCCTGAAATGTACGCAACGAAGCAACGGGAAGGATCAGAAATCGTCTGCGCTATTTTTGATACTTAAGTAACTATGTATGTATCAGGCAAATCATTTTCGATTTCGAAAAAGAAATTTATGAAAGAAGTTTCAAGAGAGAGAGAGAGAGAGAGATTAACCGAGCGAGCACGGAACCGAAAGTGAATTGCGGTTTTACTAAGGATGTCAAGGACGAGTGTTTTTCACGTGCAGCCAACCGATAAACTCGACGCCTTGCTGCTTCGTAAACGAAAGTGAAAAAACTTTGGGAAGAGGTATCTTCTACCTTAGTAGATATATATGAGAAAAGTGTAGATAAGAGCAATCCTGGATAAAGAAGAAAAAGAGAGAAAGGGAATGCAAGGGACAAGAAAAAATTGAAAAGGACAAAATGTAATAATGAACGTGTATATAGTTGGTCTACTCACTTGACTTTCATCATTGTCGAGCCATCGTGTTTGGCGATTAATTTCAAATGATCCCACGACGCCTTGCACTCGTTTTCGAGTTTGCCGATATTCGAGGCCAACTCGTCGAAGTCGATCTTTGAGGCCCGTGTCACTGCACCGATCTGAAATTTTGTTCAAACGAATTCTATTTTGTTGTCTTTTTCACTTTGACCTCCTGATTTTATTTTTTTCTCTTTTGCGCAAATATATAATATTTTAGAAATTTGTCTTTTGTGAATAACTCGATCGAAATTCGAATAAGTTCATTCAAAGCTTTTTAAGAAAAGAAGAACTATCGGAAACTTGGTATCGTGTAAATATCGCTCGATTACCCCATGCGCGAGCATGCAAAAGCAAACGCAAACTTTACTATTCTCTCCCTCTCTCCTTACCTCGGAATAGAGGTCCGTGGAATCCGGAAACTTTTCCATCACCATATAGCAGAGGTGATGAAGTAGCGAGTGCTTGTGAACAGTGTCCTTTACTTCAGGTACTTTGGCAAGGTATTCCAGTTGAAAGCCCTTCACCTGAAAAAGACAATAAAAAGGCATCGGTTTCTACTAGATATTCTTTGTATTCTCTTTCGTTCTCATCTATGCACTTTTAGTTATTTCCTTTGACATTGTTTGTTTTTTTCTTTTTTTGCATCGATCGAACGTTTAACAAAAGGGATAAAAGAAAATCCTTGGATTTTCTCTATCGTCATTATTAAAAAGTGCATAAGAAAGTTTGATTGCCATCGACGCCGTTATTGGAAGAGGAATTCGAATCGACTCTCGATGATTTTTACCGGACGAATTAAACGGATGTCATTTGGCCGGAGTTTAATACCCACCTCGTTTCCGTTGAGGAATATCCCTATCGAAAGGAGCGTGCTCAGAATCCCGCGAAAGGTTTTATTCACTCGCAGCGTCTCCATTCCCTGCTTGAGATCCATCAAAGGGTCCGCAATTTCCTGAAGTCACAAAGGTACGCGGTCGCGATTATCATCTTTTTTTTATTATTCTTTTTCTTTTTCTTTGACATCTTTTTCTTCTGATCGTAGTATTCAAATATAAATACATTTCTTTAATATCTGCCATTTAAAATAACATAATAATCGATGTTAATTTAAACTGAGAAACATAACTCGAATAAGCTGTTCGACATCGGCAAAGAAAAGAATTCGAAAGGGATTCTATCTCACGATCGATCCGAACACGCGTGCGAGAAAAACTAAAATTACGTGGTCGGTCAACTATTTGACGCTTCAACGCGCACAAATGCTTTCTACGAAGTTCACGGAAGTATGAACAAAATAGGTGTCGATAAGGAGGAGAGTACGTTCACCGAACGATTCTTTTCCTAAGACCACTACTGCTTGTATTTGTCGTCAACAGAATCAAATAACTATCCTCAAATGAAATTGTTAAATCTGCCGTAACATTCGATAGTTTTACAAATGTTGATACGTTATACTATTTGATAAATAATAAACGACTTTGACGTACAGATTATAGATTGAATCAGTGAACAAAAAAATGTCTACTCACCTTCTCAGAATTTTCAAAGTCCAACTTAAACGCCCAAAGCTTCAATCTCGCTGGCAATTCTGATATCGATGCCAAAGTGAGAAGGAACTGTTCTGCCGATCCCAAAGGAAGATCGGGATTCGCAGCCTGTGCCTCTTGTATCCTCGATCTTTCTTCTTCCGTCGGTAGCATCGTCAAGAGTTTCTATCGCGTAGAATACCGCAAAAAGGGAGATACGTGGACAAGGGAACGGGACGAACGAAAGAAACGAATAAATTGAAAATTAGACAAAATCAGAAGAAGAATTCAGAAAAACTAGAATTTGAGATACGTGACAAATTAATAATAAGGAGAACGATCGTTAAATCAAAATTTAATTGAACTTGTCTCACAGAAAATGGAAATGAACAAAAAGAAATTGAACTTGGGACAAGAATAAAGTGGATCGATCGAATCGAGTTTGTATAAATTGAGTTTCAAATAGAGAATAGTAATTCGGGTAATTTGGTAGTTTGGTGACGTGTCACAGATTGATAGAGAGGGCGACCTAAATAGAAAATGAAATCTTACCTCGATACCCTCTCTGTTCATAATAGTAGCATCCATCTTTAAAATGGCCGTTTTGATGGATCTCGGTGGTGGCAATTTCGTCATGCCGATATTGATCGCGTTTGATCTTTTGTGGTCGAGTACGATGATTTCTTTGTTCTTGTTCATTTCTTGCTGCTTCTATTCGATCAAACAGAAGACATAAACATTTGTTTAGAAAGAAAAACGATGACCGATTTGATTGCAGCTTGTAATTCGAATTTGTTAGTTCGATCGATCGATGAACTCGTAACGCGAAACGAGTTAGTAATGATTACACAATCAAAACCAAGAAAAAATATACGATTACATTGCAGCTGACATTAGTCGATAATGGACTATTTAATATAGAATGATGTATAGGTACTCTAATGAGAAAAGAAAGAAAGAATTTCTACTAAAAGTAAAGAATTTTAAATAGAAATGATCGTTTCAAGCAAAAGATTACGAAGCATTTTATAAAAGTTCTTACTCTATTCTTTATCTTTCTTTTCCTTTCCTTTTTCTTTTATGAAGCCAAAGTGCACTAAATTACGAGAAAGAACCGGATTAAAAAAAAAAATAAAAAAAGGGAAATTACTGGCAAATCTTTATCCGACGATGAGTAAAAATAAAATGAAAAGAAAAACGAAAGAATGATGTAAAATAAAACGTGCCAAGTCTTACATTGTTACCTTAAATAGTTAAATTCGTGAAGGAGATTGATCTCGCGTGAATGCAGGATACGAATATAGAAAATGTAAATGCACATAAAACGCTTGGAAATAATATAGAAGAAAAAAAAAGATTGGAGGAAGGAGGGGGAAAAGAAAATAAAATCGTTTGGTTAGAAAAGCCACACTTTAGAAAAGTTAAGAAATGAAGAGACTCACCTCCTGTCAAATTCCAGCATGCCATTTTGTTCATTTTTCGTGCGAGCACCAACAATATTGCAAAGAATACAAGAAGAGATTAGTCATTTTGCGGTAAACCGTCACCACCCAACCACCATCCGTCATAATTATCGTACGTGATTATTATCGTCACGCGATCTCGTTACAGCTAAAACTGGTACTATTTTCTTCAAGAGATCTCGAGACTTCTCTTATCGTACCAAATGTATGTACTGAGCGACGTTAAGTGCATTTTCGACATTTTACGTGGCAGAACGGATCGTACACACGTATTTGTGTGTGCTTCGCAAACCGGTTAATCTTCCAAAGGAATGAGACCGTTTAACGTATTTACGCTTCAAATTTCTTTAACTCGAACGTTCCAACTTAGTTCCCTTTTATACGTGTGTACTTACGCTCACAAAGAAAACATATACACCTATATATCGTATAAACGTGGTCCGGATGAGAAGCATTCAATTTTCTTTTCTTTTCACTTTCGACAATTTACTATTTAACTATTATAAGAAGAGAAGAAAGGTAATAACGATTATCTCAAAAATATCTATTTAAACAATTTCAAAAAAAAAAGAAAAAAACGACACTGATTCTTTTTTATTCACACCATCATCTGCTTCCCCTTTCGTGTTTTCTCTTTATTTCCACTATTTTTACTAAATTCTCATCAGACTCTCTGTATTGTGTTAATTATTACCGAGCTTCCGAGCGTGCGTATACGTTCAGAGATAGAAAAAAGAAATAATGCAGACGAAAAGCGAAAAGGAAAAAAGAAAAAGATAAAGATATAATGAGAAAAAAGAAAACAAATATAATGCAATTATTTTCGCGAATTTGCAACACCATGTAAAACGACGACGTTAAATTCGGTCTTTAGACAATTACACTTATAATTTGTCACGTGTCAGCGCAATTCCGTAGTAGATTTTCATTAGAATACCACAAAGCTAATTAACGATAGTTTAGCATTTCGATATGTTTTTTTTGTCCTGAATGAACGAAATAATTCGAGGCAAAGAGGAGAGATTCGTTAAAGCAAAGAAAAAGAAAGAAAGAGAAGGAAAAAAAAGATAATGGATCGTCCTTATTTCTTAATAGAAAAATATAATAAAAGTCGTCGGAGAAGTTTGCTTAGAATGCGACAAATTGTTTGTCCGATCGAATGAGTGGATCAATTATTATTTGAAATTTTGTAAGTAGGTGCTCTTACCTTGGTGATAAGATCCTTGGCTCTGCTCTCGAAGAGGTGTTCGAGTTTCTGCGTATCAATAGGCACTGGCGAGAGCTCGTCCCAAATCATTTTGTTCTTGTCCAATCTCGAGAGGATGATGGGATCGTCCCTGACCTCTTTCCAGAACAGCTTCACAGTCTTTTTGCTCTTTTTTATGGTCAAGGTCGAAGCCGGAGAGTTTAAAGGTGGACTTCTCAAAGGATTGCTCGGGTCGTTGTTCATCGATGATCTCATGGTGGATTTCAGATTGAGAGGCGAAAAAAGGGGCGGTGGAAGATGAGGTAAAGGTGGTGGTGGTTTGGCACTGGAACTCGGGGGCAACATCGAAGGAGGTGGAGCTGGTACCATCGGTGGTGGAGGCGGAGGAACGCCGTTCGTCACGTTTACCGGTCCCAAAACGTCGATTTCATCCTCCGAATTTAGATCCGTAAAGTCAAGGTCGCACAGAGCCAACGGTCTTTTCAACTTTTTCACGAGTTCCTCCCAGTGCAACTCATTCTCCGATTTCTTAACTTCCTGTACCTTGAGCAAATTCTCGCCTGTCGGCGATTTCAATACGTCGGCCTTGGACTTTGATTTGGCCAATCCCTCTTTAGCTTTCGAGATCAAGCCGCTCATATCTCCTATCCTGAAAGAGCGCAAACGAACGCGCGAACGAACGATAAAACTCGAAGATTCATCTTTATCTTGCGTAATTAATAATTAACGCTTTTAAGTCGTCTCTTACCTCGAAACCTTTTCATCGACGGGACTGCTCGTCGGTATGAGATTCTGTGCCGTTAATTTCTGCGTAAGATCTTTGACGGTACCTTCTCGTTTCAATTGTAAAACCACTCGACGATTCTCGTCGTCATCGGTGTTATTACCCTCATCGCACTCGACACCCTCATCGGGACTCTTACCGTACCAAGGCTTTTTCTCCTCCGAGTCGAGCTTGTTCGCGGCGTTCATTAGCGGTGTTAAATCCTTCCTGCTGTTCGTTCGGGAGAGTTTGTTAGACGGGGAATCGGTTTTCCTTTCGTACGACGTGCCATTCGGGTGATATCGCAAACCATTAGACGAGAAGGAACCTTCAATTCGATATATTATACGTTTGTAATAGGTTTGTCCAAAGACGGAATAAGAAAGGAAATGTTTGCAATATTTTGTGTACTACTCACTCTCCTGGTCGTCCGAATGGTCAACGGAAGCTCTCATATTCGCGGTAGCCTCTTGTTGCTCCCTGATAAAACTCCTTTGCCTCTCCGCTCGTTCTCTTCTACGTCTCAAAGCTGGTGTTACGCCAACGTCGACTGGAACACGCGACATATCATTTTCCTCCCTAATCTCTCTCGTCTAATGCATGACGTATAATGCATGAATCGTTTCTGGTAGGCGTAGAGATTCCTATTCTCGTCCGATTTCTTTCAATTATCTTAAACGATTCGATAATAACGAAGAAGAAATTCGAAATCTTTTGCGATCGAGATAGTTAGTTAATCAGCTAGGTCACCTTTGTTCTCCTTATAACTGCCATTGAGTTGAACTTCCCCGAGATGTCCTTGAGAACTTTGAGAGCTACTCGACTCGTCATCGTCATCGGGCAGACTCGAATTCAAAGTGTTGTTCAGGGAGCTAAGTCCCAAAGAATGGTTCGAGCGTGGACTTAAACGAGCGTTCAAGGACATCGAAAGCGGCGACGTGCCAGTCGAGTGCCTGCGGGACTTTCGACGCTCGTGAGAATCCACGAGAGACTTCCGGTTGCGTAGGGTTTTCCTGCGAAATTCAGTCAAACGACTTTCTGTAATTTACGATGTCGACGTTTATTTCGTTCGTTTAAAAGAAAAAAAAAAAGATAAGAATTAAACAAATCTAATTTGTATTCGTACAACAAATGCATACGCCTAAATAAATAATGAACTTGATGCACAATTGTATAGGAATTATGTCGAAAATAAATAAAAATGTTTCGTACCTGATATTGTCGTCGAGCTGTCGAATTGGCGATCCCCGGTCGTTGCCATCCTCGTGATGGAGTACAGCTTCGTAAATTTGAAACTGTCTAAGAAGATCGAGATCTGTTCCTTGTTTGGACATATATCTTTGAATAATACCCTCGATTCCTTGCTCCTCGAGACAATCCACTTGATCATAGTAAGTGTCTTGATCCGGAATACCGTTCAAACATTTATTAACTAAAGTCGTTGCGTATATTAGAAGTTCCGTGTCAGCGGCATCGTAATCCTTCAAAAGCTTCATTACGTTCGTCCACGGTATCATACCTCTTGATGTGTCTACCGAACGTACAGCCCGAACGAGCAACAAACTGTTGGTTTCCACGTACTCGACGAAGACCAGTAATAATTTCAGGGCCGTCTTTACAACCAACCGAAAACGACTTGCTATAAGGGTGTATAACCATTGTACCGTCTGACCGTGTTCTATCACGCCATTCATGCCATCCACGTAGAGCATCACCTGACCGAGGGCTGTTTGGATTAAACATTTCGCCTTTTTATAACCTTATCAATCTTTCTCCTAGTATATATTATTTGAAAACGGACTTTAAACAATTACGGCATTAGGCTGAGTGAAAAAATGAAAATCCTACCCTCCCTGAATCCCTTTTAAGCACGCGTCAAAGATTAATCGTGCTTTTTAATGGACATTGGAATATTTGGAATATTGAAATATTTTGTTTACGCGTATCGCTAAATCGTTTATATACAACGTTGATAGAATTTCGTATCTCTACGGATAAAATTTCATGAATTTCGAATAGAGCAGAATATTTTCTACATACGAGTACGTATGTGTGTTATTCCCATTGAACAAATTCTGATGTTAATTTTCGTTTAAAAAGTAACAAAACAAAATAAATTATTAAAAAGTAGAAACGCGTTTATAAAAGAGTCGTAAATTCGCAGTTTTGGAGAGATAAATTGAAACGAATTCGTTTCTAAAATGCAAGAATTATACATTAGAATCGTAGATAGGTACGATAATGACAATATAATCGTAAAACGATTGGAGAGAATTGAGCGAGAGACGCCGAAGTGGTGGGAGGATTGTATAGGACTGCATTAATCCGCTCGTTATCATTACGCAAAGCCATAAGTTACGCCGCAAAATCTAATTAAACGGTATGGACATAATATATGCAGGTATACACAGAGAGAGAGAAAAAGAGAGAGAGAGAGATAGCGAGGTCGTTGCAATCATCCGTTTTCCGAAGGTTCGTTTCTGCTTACCATACGATATTATACCACGACTATATTATAGTCGACAAACTAAAAGGGTGATGGTCGGTGCAGGAAACACGGTGCAGGTATAATAAATCGCGACGCACTCGCATCTAATTAGAGATTTGGTGAAAACGCGTTACGTCCATTAGTTTTTACACATAATAACGTGGAAACATTAAAGCTCTTGGTAAGCGCTGCTACATCGGTTTCTTGCAAAAATAATGTTACGCCAATCGCGCGACACGAAAGGCTATATCCTATAAAAAAGGTGAATCCGTTTTGTAATTTGCAATCCCGTTATCCGCGCTCGGTCAATAGAAAGCTGTTCGAGAGGACATCCAATCCAATCCCAATGTTATACGCAAAATCAAAATATCCCACGACGATTAGTTCTATTGCAATGTGGAAATAGAGAATTATTCAATAAATGAGATTAAATAGGAGACGTATAATGAGAAAAGAAAAAATTCACTGAGGTGTGAAATAAGCCTCGCCTTGCGCTTTTCAATGCTCGTAAGTTTCGGTGTCAAGTTCGTTTGCGTGCTGCCAAAAGACCCGCTTCCAACGATAGGTAACAACACATTTAATCGCTCGTTTGTTCTACGCGAGACTTAACTGCTACATAATTTAGGGAAACAGGTGTTTTACGTTTACCTATATTTCATTATCTCGCTTTATTATTGCGAGTAATGGAATCAATGATGTATAACGATCGATATTTCCAAAATGAAAAATCAATCTCTCCTTTCTTTAATTTTAAAACACTATCTTTAACTTTTCTATTTAAAATCATTTACAAGGATGTACATTAAATTAAGTTCCCATAATTACAGATTGCACATTAAAATCTTAAATGACATTTATTTTTCATTTTCTTCTATGTTTCGCAAATGCAAATAAAAGAAATGAAAAGTTCTTAAATATCTTAACACCAATCAACTGTATATACAATAATCTCGAGTCAAAAGGAAGAAAGAAAGTTTTGATAGGACATTTTGTTCTTCACATATTTAGTTTCAATCGTTTGCTCTCTTTCATTTATTAAATCGATGAATCGATCGACAGATCAAACACGACGTTCGGCGTTTCGCGAAACTTTGAAAGTAAGTTTAATGTGCCGCACGAAAGGCGATATCAAAGAGCGTATTCATATAGTTCGATACAAGGCGCATCGAACTTCCACCTTTTTACGAGTTTCGCATTGCGGTAAAGAAGTTTTTCTTCTTTGAAAAACTTTTCCATCCTCTTCCACGGTCGCGTTTATGCTCGGCGTGGAAAGGAACTTCATTCGGCAAAAAGATTTCTATTATTTTATCGACATTTATGATAATTCATTCGGGCTTACGGAATAACAAAGTCTACCTGTTCGTGCTTATATAAATATCGAACTATGAAAACTATCCGAGTAAAAGAACTAATGATTATTTTCGATAAATATCATTTTGGCCACGCGCCGAGATGTTCTCTCGAATTAAACAATAGTTATCCTCGACGTTACCTCGTTATTTATAAAGTATCGGCACATTTTTTTTCTTAAACCTACTCACCTCGTAGTATATAATTTTGATAATTCTGATCGGCCTCGCTGCCGACCTTGATGAGGCAAGCCAATCCATCGTTTTGCACGAACTCGTGCACCAGGTCTTTGTCCTCCTGCAAAATCAATTGTCTCGATGATAAATATGCATTATAAATATTTCATTATATATTTATTTATATTTTTTAGTAATATAATATAATCGCGGTAGATCGAATTTTGTAGAAAGTAATTGTTCGTGGATAAAATAGAAAAGAGTAACGTGTCGGGATACGTGGAACGTTGAAATAAAATAAAAAGGAAGAAAAAGAGAGAGAGAGAGAGAGAAAAAAAAATAAGAAAAAAGAAAAAAGAAAGACGCGTGGAACATCTCGCAAATATTTACACGGCGAGCGAGTAGCTTCGTGCCAAAATAGTCGTCTTCTATCTCCTTTTTCTCGTCTTCTTCTTTTTCTTCTTCTTCTTCCTCTTATCCCAGGTTCTCTTTCGTTTCGTATTACGCGTCGGAAAATAGCAAACCTACCTGAAAGATCTGCTTGAGAGAAAAGAGAGCTCTTCGTAGTTCGCGACCCTCGCTGTTCAGCAATTTTTCTGCAACAAATATAGACAAATATATACTATGCATCCATTATGATATATGTATAAATACTCGTTGACGTAATACAATAATTCCACGTTTAGACGTTTCATTTATATCAGAATAACGCTAAAAAATCGCATGAATAAATCTATAATATATTACAGAATAAAAAAGAAATGAATAATTAATCGGATTAAAAGAGATGGAAGAAAAATTCACGACTATTTTATATTACGATTCCGTCGGATCGGAAGCGAGAAAGAAACCAATTTTGTAGGCAAAATGTTCGTTCGAAAAGTACAAAAGTAATGCAGCTGTTTTTTCTTTTTCCTTTTTTTTTTTTTTTGTTCCAACTTCCCGCGGAGAAAAAAAAATAAGAAAATATCTGTAAATTTCAAAACGAATTTCACGTTTCATTTCCTGTCTCGAATAAAAATCGGGAATGTAGATGTGACAACAATTGAAGCTTGAGCCCTTCTCTCGCAGCATGGCTTTTCTTGTTTTCAAACGAACACTAGGCTAGCAATTAGCGCGCGAATGCTAATTTCTTCCGTAAAATTTTCGTCGTCTCTCCATCTCGCTGGATGGATGGATACCTGCAAGCGCTCTCTCGGTCCTTTTATTTCCTTTTTCTTCTTCCTCTCTCTCTCTCCTCTTTCACGACTGTATTACTAACAATTGAATTCCGTTTGGCGAGCGGTGGAATGGAAAATTCAATTTCCCGAAGCTCGATGAGAGAGGAGCAGAGATGCAATTCCGAGTGGAAAAAAGTTTACAGAAATAGACGCTTCCCCTTGCTTCTTATAAAAGGAAAAATGCAACATTTTTCCCCAAAATGTTTAAACAAAAGACGATGGAATAATATGAAAGACTATAATTGATATCAACGACAAAAATGAGGTTAAGAGGTTACAGATGTTCTGGCGAAACTTTACATTAAACAAGATAAAGAACGGAAAATAACGAGCATTCGAGAGATAAAAGAGAGAGAGAGAGAGAGAGAGAGAGAGAGAGAGAGAGAGAGAAGGAATTACGTTAAGTGAACGTTCAAAAATGAAAAAAAAAATCCATTCGCCGTGCGCGAAGTTAATAAGTCTACGATCACGAATCAACCAGGAAGAAGGAAGTAATTAAGTAATCCTCGGAGAAAAAGACGAAGAGGAGTAGAACTCTCGTGTTACGTTCTACAACTGAAATATTTTCTATAGAAATAACTTCAAATTACTTATGATAAATAGAAATTTGTTGGAAAAATGATTGGATATAATATAATATTTAAACTACAATCTTGTATGTAGTTTATAATCTAATATAACACTTGTTCTCGATAATACTTTGAATTTCGGATAGTTGGTAATACGTAAATACATGCTATTGGTAATATCATCTGTAAGAGAATCGTGGGTGAAAGACTCACGACCAGCCATCTTCCGTTACATCTTTCCGTTTGTTCGATTTGTAGCTCGTCTCTTAACGAGACGAATTCGCGAGTTATTTCGTGGTAAAGGAGGTCCGGGCGACCGCATAAACGCCGACTATCACGCGATCTTCAAATGCATAATGCATGTCGGTTGTCTCGGGAGGTGAAGGGAGAAGGGAGAGCAAAGGAAAGGAAAGGGCAGAATAAACCAGGGGGAGAGAGAGAGAGAGAGACAGAGAAGAGGAGGGGACTGCGAGCGAAGGTAATTAGGAACTCGCTGCAGGAGCCAGCGAGGGTGTGCGAGAGAGACGGAAAGATCTAAGAATAGCGGTCCCAAGGCCCCGAGGCCCTTGGCCCCCGCCATAATCAGCGCCCATATAAGCAAAAGTTCCTCTCGCTCAAACAAGTTTACCGGCTTGTAACGCGCCATTGTTACTCGCGCCATTGCTCTTTTCCCTCCTCCCTTCCTCTTCACTCTTTCTTTTTTTAATTCTGCTTCTTTTCTATTTATTTTCTAACTCTGCGTTTTTTGTTATACTTCTTTTTTCTTTTTTTTTTTGCTTCACTTTTGGGAACCAACTCGAGAAAGGGTTTTGCATGGCAATCGCATGGATAAACAATCGGAAGAGTACTTTACTCGAACGGCGTTTCGATTACATCAAAGATTTTTTGTTTTTTTTTTTTTTGGAAGAAGAAAGAAAAATAATTCGAATCAGGCTGAACGTTCGCGAATTCGACTAGAAGAACTCGCTGAGAAAGCGCGAAATCTGATTCCGCCTGTCGCCTGATGCTCGATCCGAGTTCCAACGCTATGACGACGTTCGAGTATTTATCACTCGCTGTACGATCCAATTCTTATCAAAATAATACATTTTCTCTACGAATTATTTATCATTTAATCGACATTAATTATCTCAAAGATAAAAAAGAAAAGCAAAGTAATTAATTTATTGCGCGATTTGTAATAAATTTATCTATAATAAATATCTGTGTAAGAAAATATTGTAGCATTTATATTCTATGCAATAGATTTCTTTTTCCTTTCATGAGTTTATATCGGTCGGTATACACACTGTATACGATTTATATATGAAAATGCAAAGGTGAGTAAAAAGGAAGTTGAGGAAAGAAACGGAGAGAGAAAGAAGAGAGGAAGAAAGACGAAAACCAGACGGGTTTTGCAGGTACCGAAAATACATGGAGAACCGTTAAAATATGTAAAACGGTAGGGTCCTCTCTTCGTCTTCCGCTTCTCCTCCTCCTGCCCTTTTCGTCCCTTTACTCTTTTCTTCTTTACTCGTTCCTTTTCAGATCTTCGATCATCTCCTCCAGCGACAGTACCAAGAGTTCAATGAACGAGAACGACCCACAGGTGAATTCGACGAAGATGTAACGAAGGTACCTATCGGTCGTTTAAACGAAACAACGAATACAACGAACGATATTTCAATCGACTATCGATCGATCTGATTTAAAAGAAAAAAAAAAAACAAGAAAAAAAACAAAAACAAGATGGGAAAAAAATTAAGTAGGGCGAGGATCGAGAAGAAGATCGGACAGGTGGTGTTCGACCAAGTGGATCGTGAGACCGAATAAAAGATTTGAATCAAGGATCTGCGAGTAAAATACTCACCTATGATGGTGTGAACCCTCACAGAAAGCTGAGTCCTGAGAACGATTGAGTTCTTCCGGCTGCAACAAATCAAGAGAGGATTAGCTCGATTAGCGCATACATACTTATGCACACACACATGCACAGAGACACACGCATACAAAATAACGTACGTTGCAGAGAACATAAATATTGATAAAGCTACGCGTAACCGAGTCTCGTACGAGACATCCTATTGACCCGGTGATACGGTGATTCCGTTCGCGTTAACTTTAGCCTACCGTGTGCCAATTAATCTTCTTTGACCGATCCTAATTACTCTATTATACATACAATGCAAACATGCATATACATATGCTCGGGAACGAGACGAATAGAATCGTTTTTTTATTACAATACACGCAAACGTTTACTACGAGTGTCTACACTTTTCCTATAAATTGGGTTAAAGTGGTATAGTCGGTAAACTCTCTTTCTACCCTTCCCCCTCGCTCTTTCTTTTTCTTTTTCTTTTATCTCTCTCTCGTGTCGCCTTGGATAAGCATGCGGTGCGAACTTAAAGGCCCTGCGAACCTTCCCACGCCAAGCGTCCCTGAGAAAGCACGACGACAGTGTAGACAATGGATTTGAGAAGGAAAAAAGGGAGAAAGAAGAGGAGAGTGGAGGAGGGGGGAGGAGGGGAGGAGAAGTAGAAAAAGAAGAAGAAGGAAATAGAAGAGACGAAAAAGGATTATGCATCTAACATCGAAAATCCAACGTGTTAGAAGCACAAACTTGAAAATGCCGGCGTACTCGAGCGTTAATGTTTCCGCCGGTAAATAAGGGAGAGATAGATCGAGATATCCCAAGGACTTCTTTTCCCACGGATATATATGGTATCATTTATTTCTATTTCTTTTTAATCGACGTCCATAAACTTCAAGCGTTGATTTTGAAATGGAGCAAAATAACAAAATAAATATCATAGTAGGAAAGTAAAAAAAAAGGAAAGATCGGTGTTTATAAAATCTTTGAAATTCGAGCCAACGATCAGAAAAGCGTATTCTATTGCTCCAAATTAGATCGAAAAGATTTCAAGAATAGCATTTTTTATTGTCGGAAAGAACCGTGCCAATATCAACTTGGCAAACTATCTTACACCGTTATCATTGACTAAATATAATATATCGTGAAAAAGATATTGTTCCAGCTTCTATTCGAGCATCTTTTCTAAAAATAGAAAATATCGATCGAAGATAGGAAAATCCTGGTAACCTGTTAACGAATAGATTGGATATTTATGAGAGATTTTCGCACCGGTGGTATGATTAATGACGAAAATGGAGAGTCGATACTTAGCAGCCGTTAGATCGAATCTTTTTGTTCGATTACGCCTACGCCAAGAAAATCGCACGGACGCAAGGGTGTTTGTGCGTCGAACGATCCTATCCTCATTATTCTTCCTTTTTTGTCAGGAGAGAAAGAAAAGGATTGCGAAAGGCAAGCCTTCTCCTCGCTCGACCACCTCCGAGCAGAAAACTCGAGAGGCTCTCTCATCGAGACATTATGCGAGTTACAAGGCGAAACAACAAAGGACGGAAATAGACGTGCGTTTGCGAGAACCTGCCAAAACTTGACTCGATAATAAGTCACGTGAGTGGACAATTTGCGAGAATCCCTACAAAACGAGCGACCATACGTAACTATTATTCCCTCTTTTACGAAACTACTTTTCAAGAGCTATCCGAGTAGTACGCGGACTTTTTTAATTACGTAAGCTACTCGCAGTATGTACGTACTATATTCGTGTATATTAGAGAATATAATTCATTAGTATAGGAGAGAGAGGAGGGGGGGGGGGGAAGAACGAGCGAGAAGCGAGAAACGCTTAAGGTCAACCAGGGAGTCATAAATCACTTAAGAATTTACTCCTATGTGTCCTCCCTGTATTTAAATCGTACGACAACGAAACCACCGAATGAAATTGAAAAAAAAAAAAAAGAAATAAATGAAATAACCACGATCTAAGTCGAGAACGCGTGCCAATGGCAAGAGATCTGCCCCCGGGGGATTAGAATATTCGCTCAAACTTTTCCTAGGAAGAATTCTCGATCGAGTAATAGAAAAAAAGAAAGGAACAAAAGTGGAAAGTCGAAAATCGGTAGAGAGAAATCGATTTATTTAGGTTAAAGCCTTCGAGCTGTCTTATTCCCTTTCGACTTTTTCCCCAAGAGCGAAATGGAAAGCACCCTTTTCCTTTTGGGCTTTTACGGAATCAATTTATAAGCAACCTGACGGAACTCGATCGAGCTCGTTCTATTCGCGAGTTAAATTGCTCGCTAAACTCGTCTTGCAACAGCTCTACGATCTCTCTTCCTTGCTTCCTTTATAGGATGAATTCAAATTAATGAGATATAATAGGTGGAACGTTCTGATATTTACCAATAAGGTGGCATGATGGCGGCGTCGAACTCTCATATCACTCTAAATCCAACGTGTCAGGTTTGATAATATTTAGGATGACTAGTAGAATAATGTAATAATTCAATTGGAGGATCTCTGTCTTTGCAAGAGCGTAACACCACGTCGACGAACAAGTCCAACGAACGACTGCTAGCAAGCGGAATGGCTTCTTCTTAGTCTCCTCTGTCCCGCGCTTCGCCACAATAGCAAATGGTGGGAGATCAAAACGCTGACTAGTCCTTGCTCTCTCCTACATGTATATGTGTATAGATATATACACGTAAGAATCTATGTATACAACCCCAATGGCTTCCTCGTTTTAATTCCAAGTTACTTATTGTTAGTAGAACGCACGAGTCAGTATACTTCTAAATTCAACGAAAAAGAGTAGCGATAGAACGCAAACTCGCTTACATAAATTTAACTTCGATCATTGTCGATATATTTATTATATACGATCGAGTACATTCGAAAGAAACAATCGAAAAAAAAAAAGGAAAAAAAAAACAAGAAAAAATAAAACATCGTTAAAATACTCGATATCAAAGTACGTCTCGTACACCGGATGATTTCAATGATGCATTTAAAATAACATCGTACTCTAATGTAGTATATTAAACGTACGATAGCAATGAAAGAAGATAACGTTTCATTTGCTCAATACCGAGTTACACACAGAGGACGGTGTACACTCGACCCAGAGAAGATCATACGCCAAGCCTCTACGCTCCAGTAATTATGCGCGCAGTTTTACTTGAAGGCCCTTAGGGTACGTCGAGGTCGAACGATTTCTCGCTTGGCCAGGATACCATGATTATCATTATGGATCGTACTTCGATAAACGATTGAATATTGAGTTCCGAGTAGGCAAAATATTAGCCATCTTTTTCTTTTTTTTTTTTTTTGTTGGAAATCAAAGAAAAACAAACACCTCTGATGAAACGTAGAAGAAGAAACGAAACGAACAAAGCGACTCGTTTATCTTCGCTCGGTAACTAAGTCGAGAAGATGCGTATCTCGAGGGGGTTTCTGTTGCAGACGGATGATTCGTCGAGAATACTTTTCTCTCTCTTTCTCTCTCGTGATGCTAACCACCTCGAAGATTCTTCCGCATAGGAGCATTCAGAACAGGATGTTGAGACGAAAAAGAAGAAGAGTCTTCTTGGAAAAATTCGACAAATAAACAAGAACCAAAGAACAAAATGATAATATAAATTACGGAATATTTCCTTTTTTCTTTTTTTTTAGAAATCGCAGAGACCTTTTAATTATCTCATATATCTCTTAAAAGAGATAATTTCGTTAAAATTACGATCGTTTTACCGATACATCCAAAAAAAAAGAAAACAAAAAAGTTACGGGGGAAAACACTGATATCGCTTCCTCTTCGGCACCTCGAACGAAAGAAACGTGCCACGCCTATAAAGTTTTCGCGTCCGTTTCCTTCTTCATCTTCTCACTCTTTCTCTCTCTCTCTCTCTCTCTCTCTCTGTCTTTGTCTCCCCTCCCTTTCCCCGTCTTTCACTCTTGATTTCAGACATTCAGCAGCCACGTCGTCCTACGTCAAGTTATTCTTGGTTACGCGTTAATATTATAAATGTGCAAGCTACACCGACTCCGGTCATCTTTCCTTCCGGTCGATGTAGCCTGACAAATGCATCCAAATTTGAAAATAAACATTATATTCTATTTAATTATTAATGAATATCTCTCTCTTTAATAAATCTATGTATGTGTGTGCATAGAAATCCGCGAAAAAACTTTCTTTTGAAAATTTGCAAACCGTAGTCCTACGAATTCTAACGAGAGATTTGAAAATAAATAAATAAAAGGTACACACTGTGTTCTTTTTATACTCTCAATGATAGGTCGTTGCAAACATTTACACATTCGTCTCTTATATATCTCAATAGATCCGAGACCGATTTCCGAGACCTATCCCGAACGCGAAACGTTAATATAATACAAAAAGGAGAACTTCTTGAAATCGACAACGTTTTCTTCTCGTTTTCACGAACTCTGTCATTTCAAACTAATTCGATCATTTTTTTTTTTTTTTTTGAAACAACGAACGTCGAATTCGTTCTTTTTTCTTTTTAAAAACTACCACAGAAAAGATTTGTTTTATTCATGCTCAATGCAAATCTAAGAACCATATGTTAGGAAGTTTTAAGAAGAGGATGAGTTTTTTTCTTCGAACTTGTGATACATATTAACTATATTCGTAATTATGACTTTAGAATACGTTAAGTATTTTATATCTATAATTACATTTATGAAATAAATCGCAAGAAAAATTTACTGAAAAATGTTACGTTAAATAAATTAAAAATTATAAAGTGAGTTGTGAAACGAATAAAATTGAAAAACTAACATAAATGTAGGTAAGTATATCATGTATCGATGTTGCGGAAGAAAAGCATCATATAGGAAGACGGAAAACGCGTGCTCTCGGTTTGAACGCGTGCACAGAGAGACGAGAAACCAGTTTAACTGTCGTGAAAGTACGCTGAAGGCTTCGTCAATGAAACCGGCGCAATCTCGAGCAAGTACACGGCTTCGCATTTTCGAATGACACGAAAGAAGTAAATACGAAAATGTTCTTCTCTTGGAATAAAATATTATTTATGCTCTTATA